GGGGCGGGGCGGGGCGGGGCGGGGTGGGGCGGGGAGGAGCGGGGCAGAGCGAGGATTTGGGTCGGCTCACAACGGAAAGAGGAGCGTGCTCATGCCACACAGCGTCATACTAATTTTGAACAGGGAGTAAATGGTTTCCAGCAAGCACTGGTGAGGTACTAGGTGAAAACCAGGCACAATCTTGAGGGGATCGCGATACCAAGAACGGCAACGGACGCAACACATCGGGGCATGTACCACCGAAACAACATTCCAAGAAAAATCTCCTGAAAGTCCCCAGAACAACTCACGGGGCTTGCGGGGGGTGGGGTTACAGAGAGGGGTTCATATGGGGGGGGGCAGGGGCACGGTTGCGTGATGACGGTGTTGTTGCATGTTTCAAGCGCTCTCACTGGAAAGTCTCCTGAAGTTCTGACGGAGCCGTGAGGCTCAGAAGGGTCAGCTGCTTGAGCTCCTCGTTGCGATGGCCGCTCAGCGCCTCGAACTGCAGGTTGCTCTCGATCAGGCGTCCTTCCACGGTGGCCATCGCCAACGCCACGCTAGCGTGTGCGAAAACCTGCCCATTCACCCCCAGGCAAGAGAGAGACAATACCGACCGCAACGATGTGAACAGCAAGCTAGCTACGGCGGCGCGTGGCAGGCAAGCAGCGCGGTTCGCAGAAAGACTAAGAGACAAAAACAACGCCACTTTCTCCTCTTCTCCTGGCCGATGGCAAACTGCAGGGGTGAGAGCGACGTCGTCAACCGGGAAACCAAGATCGAGGCGTGACAGCAGCACATCACGCATGCACAGGACACTCCTCTCGATTCACGCCGTGGACAGCACCAACTCCGGACCCTCCCCGCCCATCACCCCCCGCCGCACAAAGAATCGTCTTCACCGCCTCTTGCAATGACCCACTACCGCTGCCATTGGATTTGGTTCGCCCTCTCCCTCAGCGCCAACCTGCTTGCAGTCGATCGTCCCGCCATTTGGATCTTGCCGGCCGACTTCCGGAACGTCCGAGGTTTCGGCCATCCATCTACACGGCGGGCGGCGCACGGGCAGAGGGAGGGGTACGGCGGGTTGGTGGAAGCAGAAGGGGCAGGAGCTGGTCCACGTATGCAACGGCGGCACAAGCGTAGCAAAACAGAGGGGCTGATGCCCTGAAGGCTGCAGCAGCAGCGGCAGCCCTACGGCGCCTTCGAAACAGCCGGGACAGCAACCCCCCCCTTCTGGAATGTCGTTGAAATGGAGGACGCGAACAGTGGTGGGCAGAGTGAACGCATGTAGTTCTGAGAACATACCGTCGTTGCATCACCCACGGCACCCTTTTCCTCAGCAAAACAAAAAGCGAGTGCGGAGCAAAGCAAGCTCCTTCGCGGACCTGCAGAAAAAAAATGGACAAATCTCGGAGGAGGGAATCGCCACATGGTACGCCGCGAACCTCCCTGCGTGCTTCCTGAAAACGCTCGTATGCAATTTCTGCGAGGTCTCCCGAAACAGACGCAAGACCGCGACTTCGCGAAAACAGAGCTCCTCCCTGGGGACCGTTTCAGTCAAACCATACGCCGCCGTAACAATAGCCTTGCTCTTGTTCAAGAGCAAAACATCGGTGGTGACATCGCACGCGGAATGCTTGGTGGTTCTCGACGCACTTATCTCTTATCGTCCATAGGCTGGGTTGCTTTGGCACTACTTGCTGGTGGCCCCGCCGAGCCGCTGTAAAGATTGAGCGGGCACTCTACGGCTTCGTCTTACGCGCGGTTGATACTGCATAACATCACGAAGAAAAGGAAACAAAAACATGTACCCTGACAGATAGTGTCGTGAGAATAAGGCAAGATCCTCGCAGAGCCGAGGGCTGCGGGTGAAATCGCGGCCGCTCTTCAACATTTACGTGTATCTCGCCTTCCTGACGCCCCTTGTTTTCAGATTGGGGGTCTAGAAAAGCGGGCATTCGCCCAGACAAACAACGGGAGGGAAAACACGTCCGAAATCAACGAACGGGTTATCACAATATCTAGGCACGGCGTACGTACCGCGCGCGCTCTTCTTCTAGCTGTTCGATCTGCTGCTGGAGCTGAGCCGTGTAGCTCGCCACCTCGGAGAGGACGCTGCTCTTGTTGGCCTTGGTCTGTATGCCGCACTCCTGCAGGAGCTTGCGGAGCTTGTCGATTTGACGAGACGTCATAAGTGATCTGATCGTTGCGTCGGTGGGAGAGAGGGGCGGCAGAATCAGACGAAGACAGGAAGAGAGAGCGGGAGAGAGGGGGGAGGGGTAGAGAGAGAGAGATAGGGTTAGAGAGATTAGTCACACGGACAGCTACCCGTGATTCAGCAGGAGCATGAACCAGGAGCTGGAGCAGGTTGTGGCCACAATAGCACAGATAACGGTTTCACAAAGCGCCCCGCCCTGGCTTCCCCTCCCTGTGCCTTGTCATTCTTGCGCTTGATTCAGCTGGCCGTATCGACCGGCTTCCCCGCCGATACCATAATCATCGTGAAATACTTTTGAAATGTCAAGTGCGCTCTTTAGCCTCGGGACTGCCGTCCGCGACCAACCAGAAACACGTTCCTCTCCCTCTCTTCTCACCGCTAGTGTGGTCAGGTCAACCCACAAGAACGAGAAGCGAAAAAAATGCCATCGGCACCATCCGGTCCACGAGAACAAAAAAAATCAACAGAGAGTACGCCACTCATGACAGACAGCTCTCGCTGAGTTGCCTACATTAATGGCGTCCACGTCAAGTTCCCTGACTGACTGATAGCCCGACTTTTTGCTCTTCGTCTCATGACCAGCTATGCACACACCGGTAGCACCTACCGGCCAAAACATGGGAAAAGGTGCATGCGTAGGAAAATGTTCTGAACAAGAAGTACCTTCGCTGCTCCCGCGCGTTCCGCTCCTGCCTCTTGAGCTCCGATGGGTTAGACGACGACGTCGAGCTTCCTCCCCGGTCCCCTCCCGACCCCACGGAGCCTTCTTGCTGCTCCGTACCCCCCGAGTGTGCCGCAGCGCCAAGCTCGCCTACTCCTAGCCCGGCCACTTCTCCTTCGCTGCTGCTAACCCCACCGCCAGCGTTGTTGATCCTTGAGACGCCCCCCCACGCCCCAGCAACATTCGGTGGCCTTACATCCCCCGGCTCCAGAAACTGCTGTCCCCGTGGCATTGGTCTTGGGTACTGCTGCGGTCCAGCGGCGGCTAGGGTGGCGGCGGGGCTGGTCGCAAGAGCCTGGAAGTTGCCAACGCTGCCGAGGCCCGGCACACCGGCCAAAATCGTCCCCCCCGCTCTCGCTCCCGCCCCCGCCCCTGCCGAAATAGGCGCCCTCCCTTCTACTCCTGCTCCCATAATAGGAGTTGGGCTCGGAAAACACCAGCCCCACAGTCCAAGACCGGTTGCGTCCATTGCTGCCACATCGGGATAGCCGTTGTTGGTTCCACTGCCGCCGCTGTCACCGCCGCTGGCCGCCATCAGTGCACCCAGTTGATGCGATGGAAAGGGCATGCCCGTGGCCGACCCAGCTGCAGCCGGTCTAGCCGATCCAGCCGCCGCCGCCGCTGCCGTTCTAGTGGGTGGTTGTTGCAACGCTTGCTGCTGCTGCAATGACTGATGTTGTCGTAGTGTATGCTGCTGTAGCGCCTGCTGCTGCTGCTGCAACAGGTGCTGTTGCTGCTGCTGTTGCAGCACTTGCTGCTGCTGGTGGTGCAGCACTTGCTGCTGCTGCTGATGCAGCGCTTGCTGTTGCTGCTGCAGCAACTGCAGCTGCTGTGCGGTGAGGGGGGGCAACGACGGTTGGCGCATGGTACTCGACAGCGATGGGGGAGGCAGGGGCCAGGGTAGGTCTAGCGCCGCTGCACCTCCCGCCGTGGCGGCTGGCGGATATGGCGGCGTAAACGACAGAACCCCCCCCCCTCCTCCCCCCGGCTGCAGACACGGGTCACACTTAAGCGGCTGCTGTTGCTGTTGCTGTTGCTGTTGCTGTTGTTGTTGTTGTTGTTGTTGCTGTTGCCGGATTCCAACGTTGCTGTAGCTGCTACTGTTGATATGCGGCGAACTGGTCGGCTCGTTCTTCACCTTCTGTGAGACTGGCGCTCTGTGATGCCTCTTGTTGCTGGAACTCGGAGCCTCAAAAAGGAGGTGTGCATGGGCAGGTAGCCTGCGTGTGGAGGAAGGAAAAAATAGTTGCCGCCGAACGGCGCAAGCGGCCGGGGACGTGTTGCTAGGCAAGGCAGCGAGGGCTGACGGGTGACGCTTTTCCAAGGGCAAAGCGAGCACCACAAATGCCCGCTTGTATCCACTCCGCTAGATGTTACAGCAAGCTAGGGGCGTCCGTTTCGAAAGAGGAACGTTTGCCCTGCACAGAACGGCAACCGCACCGCTAAACCGGGGTTGACTGTTGATTCTAGCTCGACTGATGATGCTAGTCTACCCTTTTCACCTGCTGCATGTCGGTTGACGTTTCTACGCGCAAGGAGGATGATTGGATACATCACCCTGAACTGACAACATACACAACCCCCTTCGTCGGATGAACGGAAATGTCACGCTGAACTGACAACACACTCACAACCCTTCGACGGTAAAAAAACAGAAAAAACACTGACCCCCCAAAAAGATGATCTGCCATGAGCCCCCCTGTTCTTCGCGGACTGCTGCTGCCGCTTCCGCTCTCGCCCTTGCCACCCTGTGACTCACTCTCATCTGCCAAAGACTGGTGACGACGTAGTGAATCATACATACAGCAGCAGTGCGAGGTGTGCGGCGCGCAACGCACAAAACGGGGCGGAGGAAAGCAACACATCAGAATACAGGATTCGATCTGTGCCCAATCCACCAGCCACTTTTCTTCTGAAATTGTCCGCCACCGAAGTATATCGCCGAAAACACTTGACCTTTCTGCGCGTATGTCTTCGCCTATCAAAAGAAGAGCTACAAATACCAAGACCTTTCTTTCATATCTGCAAGTCCAACTCTTGGAATGAAATACCACCCACCCGGTAGGCTGTTACAGTTTCCTGCCCCAAAGCACTGTGCTGCCATGCCCCCCCTCCCCCCCCCGGGACTAGTGAAAAAGAAGAAAAAGTGTATTTGGGACGAAGTAGTGCAGAAGGCCAACGGAGGCCTGGAGGGAAACGTCAAGCAGATGTGGGAAGGGATTAGTGGAATGGTAAAAAAGACCGCGCAAGGGGGGGATACAGGGGTCGCAACTTTGCGAGGTGTGAACGGTGGATTAGTCAGCAGTGGGAAGGGAAAAAGGGAAGTTCTAGCAGGACACTACAAGAGACTTGGAGTGCCCTCGGAGAATGAAGCTTTTGACCAAG